GGCAGTTGACTTTGATAGTCGTAAAACCTCTCCCTGATATACATAAGTTGGGTAATCCCTCGGAACGTTTTCGAGATTTTGTGGATATCTTGGCTAACCACGATTATATGCCAATTTTTTTAAAATTGTCCTTATTCCCCAGTTTAGTCAAAAAAATGAGCAATAGTGGATTCTTTGACTTACGTCTAATTTTGGGAATACGATATTGTGTACATGACATTATACTACAGGGTGTTAAAAAAAGAGATGTTTTTTTTCCAAAATTCCAAATCCCCATTCACAGGGCTGTGCTTGATAGTCGTATTTCCCCCCCCCTAGTAACAGTTAGGTAATCCCTCGGGACGTTTTCGAGATTTTGTGGATATCTTGGCTAACTACGATTATATGGCAATTTTTTGAAAATTGTCGTTATTCTCCATTTTAGTCCAAAAAACGAGCAATAGTTGATTCTTTGACTCTTATGTCTAATTTTGGGAATACGATATTGTGCACTTAGCTACATACTACAGGGTGTTAAAAAAAGAGATGTTTTTTTCCAAAATTCCAAATCCCCATTCACAGGGCAGTTAAGCTTGATAGTCGTAATACCCCTCCCTAATAACAGTTAGGTTATCCCTCGGGACGTTTTCGAGATTTTGGGGATATCTTGGCTAACTACGATTATATGGCAACTTTTTGAAAATTGTCGTAATTCTCCATTTTAGTGAGCAATAGTTGATTCTTTGACCCTTATGTCTAAGTTTGGGAATACAATATTGTGCACATAGCATAGCAAAAATATTTTCATATTCGACGAAAAAAATGACAACAATAATTGAAGCGATGAAAGTTAAAACCAGATATGCACCATATTTTTTAAACGTTCATGCTCAACCGTTTGTAGAAAATTGCATGAATATAGCCTGCATAAGTTTACGAGAATAATGCTGTTTGGTATGCGTTTTTATTTTGAATTTCACCAAAAAAAATTGCTTTCGTGTATTTCAGATTTAATGAATCACGCAACTTACATAAACTGAAAGCACGTTACCTACCTTAAAACTATGTGTTGATAACTAATAACCTTCCGTAGTTTGCTCATTTTTGTGACTTAAGAGGAGAATAACGTGAATTTTCGAAAAATTGCCTTATAATCGTAGTTAGCCAAGATATCCACAAAATTTCGAAAACGTTCCGAGGGATTATCTAACTGTTATTAGGGAGGGGTATTAGGACTATCAAGCTTAACTTCCCTGTGAATGGGGATTTGGAATTTTGGAAAAAAACATCCCTTTTATTAACACCCTGTAGTAGCATGCTATGTGCACAATATTGTATTCCCAAACTTAGACATAAGGGTCAAAGAATCAACTATTGCTCATTATTTGGACTAAAATGGAGAATAACGACAATTTTAAAAAAATTGGCATATAATCGTAGTTAGCCAAGATATCCCCAAAATCTCGAAAACGTGCCGAGGGATTACCTAACTGTTATTAGGGAGGGGTATTACGACTATCAAGCTCAACTGCCCTGTAAATGGGGGTTTGGAATTTTGGAGAAAAAAAACATCTCTTTTTTTTAACACCCTGTAGTATGTAGCTAAGTGCACAATATCGTATTCCCAAAATTAGACATAAGAGTCAAAGAATCAACTATTGCTCATTTTTTGGACTAAAATGGAGAATAACGACAATTTTCGAAAAATTGCCATATAATCGTAGTTAGCCAAGATATCCACAAAATCTCGAAAACGTCCCGAGGGATTACCTAACTGTTACTAGGGAGGGGTATTACGACTATCAAGCACAACTACCCTGTGAATGGGGATTTGGAATTTTGGAAAAAAACATCTTTTTTTTTAACACCCTGTAGTATAATGTCATGTACACAATATCGTATTCCCAAAATTAGACGTAAGTCAAAGAATCCACTATTGCTCATTTTTTTGACTAAACTGGGGAATAAGGACAATTTTAAAAAAATTGGCATATAATCGTAGTTAGCCAAGATATCCAAAAAATCTCGAAAACGTTCCGAGGGATTACCCAACTTATATCAGGGAGGGGTATTACGACTATCAAAGTCAACTGCCCTATGAATGTGAATAACTTGAAATTTCGGAAAAAATGCATCTCTTCGTTTAACACCCTGTAGTATAATGCTATGTGCAAAATATCGTATTCCCAAAATTAGACATAAGAGTTAAAGAATCAGCTATTCAGAATTTTCAAAGATTTTCAAAATCGATTCAGTAATTTTACAATAACGAGCTTTCAAATATTTTCCAAAAAACTAGGTGCGTCGTTTTTTATGACGAGCAGTTTATATCAGTGCCTAATCTATACAAAAACTCATATATCTGAACTTATCTCAGTAAATACCAGACATGCCTATGGCACCCGATTTGGTGATCAACTATTGATACCCCAACATAGGTTACATTTAATTCATAAAAGTTTTTTTAATAACTCTATTATTTTATTCAACTTAAAGAAAACGGCATTTTGATAGATTCCAACATAGAAAAAGCTGAAGCATTCGCCCGTTACTTTGGAGGAATATACGAAGAATCACGGGACCCTTCTTATGACCTGGAGACATATAATATGGTTGAAGCATGGTTTGCCAACTTTTCAACAGAACCTAATGAGACTCTCCAACTAAATTTGAACAACCTGGATGAATTGTATTTTGACATTGTATTTACCGGCAAAAACACAGCTCCAGGGCACGACCATATTACTAAAAACAATATAAGAAAACTGGACCTTGAAATTCACGAATACATAATTAAAATTTACAGATACTGTTTTGTTAAGAACTTCTTTCCAATCGAGTGGAAAATGGGGTATTAATCTCCCACAAAAAATCCATACCCCAAGTGATGATGAGCCTGCAAAACCTAGTTAACTCGACATCAGAATGGTTTTCAAAATGGAGACTTACACCAAATCCTAGCAAATCTCATCTTTTAATCTTTCACCACCGTATTACCGACCAGTCTCCATCCATTTCTCTGCAAGGCCATACAATTCTCCCAGAAAAATCCACCAATTACCTGGGCATACTATTAGACCATAAAATAAATCTGAAACTGCACACCCAACTAACAAAAAAGAAAACAATAGCCAGGGCAAAACAATTTTCTGGTTTAAGGATTAATAACTATGGATTAAGCATCACAAACCTTATCAGAATTTATAAACTGATCTGTAGACCCATTATCGAATATGGTTTTCCCCTATTTCTCAATGCCAAAACTCCCACCTTAAAAAACCTACAAGTAGCTGAAACATCATCACTAAGGAAAATTTCAAAAATCCGACATCCCAACAATCCGCTACATAACCCTCCCAATCCTTTGTTATACCAAAGAACAGGAATAATTCCAATAACGGAGAGAATTCGGATCTTGGCAGCCAAATACAGAGAGAGAGAAGAGTCAAAAGATATTTTTATGGAATTTTGCATGACAAGATTGGAAAATGCCAGGCCCAGACATCCATCAAAAACAACCATTGAGATAATTCTCAATGATAATATAAACTAGTTACATATGTATATATATATATATACAGTATGTCTCAGTATCTTGGAATCATATGGAAAACTTTTTTATTATTAATTTTAGGAAAAAAAGTTATTCTTCATAAAAAGTTCTGCATGGTGTAAAACTTAAAATGCAACCCACACATATTATTTTTTTTTAGTCGTATACGAGGTATGTCAAAAAATATGAATTTGGCACAAGAGTAAAGTACCTTTATATTTGACAATATCAAAAATTGTTATAAAGAAAAGTTAATCAGAACTAAAAACTACGTTTAAATATGCAATTTCATACATTTACATTAAAAAATTAGGTTTTGTTAATTTTTACTAATCTTTCTATTTTAAATGAACATTTATCTGTTATGATTAGAAAAAACATGAAAACCTTAAGTTAAGTAGGGGATCTAGCAGGCCAAAAAGTTTTAGAATATCAACAAATCATTTGTTTATCAGTGAATCCTAGATTACATGTTACAGTTAAATTTGCATTGATATTGTAGTAAATGTGTGTAAATATTTTTTTTTAATGTAAATGGATGTAATTGCGTATTTGAACGTAGTTTTTAATTCTAATTAACTTTTCTTTATAACAATTTTCGATATTGTCAAATATAAAGGTACTTTACTCTTGCGCCAAATTCATATTTTTTGACATACCTCGTATACGACTAAAAAAAAATAATATTTGTGGGTTGCATTTTAAGTTTTACACCATGCAGAACTTTTTATGAAGAATAACTTTTTTTCCTAAAATTAATAATATAAAAGTTTTCCATATGATTCCAAGATACTGAGACATACTGTATATTTTTTTTGTATATTTTTTCACAATCAAAATATTTTAGTATAATTATCAATAAGTATTTCAAAAATGTATATTCCGGCTGAAGGACGAAAGTCAATGGCCTATTGAAAAATGTATTTTTTTCAATAAAGAACATTTATTATTATTATTATTATTATTCAACTTCCTACCAACTGAAATAAAAGCTCTACCTATTTTAACCTTTAAAAAGAGAATTAAACAAATAATTGTGGAGATCTGTCCATATACTATCGATGAATTTTTAAATAGATAAAACACTTTTAAGTTTAAGTTTATTTTTGTTAACTGTTATTAATTATAATTGTTATTATTGGGATTTTTACTTTAAATATGTAATCTGTAATTATGCAATATTAAAATTGTACTTCTGGGACGATGCTAAACATCTTTTGTATGTAATTGAGCAAATAAAGAATTTGTATTTGTATTGTATTTGTAATGCATCAAACGTAAACTTCCTGCCGTGGAATCGGGGACGAAACAACGTATTTTCGGCCGAGGTAGTAAGAAAAATTTATTTTATAATAATTTAAGGTTATTTAAGTACTTATTGTACCAATGCATCAAACGTAAACTTTCTGCCGTGGAATCGGGGACGAAAGAACGTATTTTCAGTCGAGGTAGTAAGAAAAAATCTTACCCGTATTCTATTTATACACCCTTGATGTTTTATTATAGCACCTGTCATTTTTGGATTCCTATTTTCATCATCTTCAGATTCTTCATCACTTTCATTATCACTATCTTCATTTGTAGTTTTATATAAATTTGATAATTTCATAACAATAATATTATTAACTTGAGCCTGGGAAGCCTGTGTGCCAGCCACTATAAATGAAGTTAAAGGATATGTATCCCGATTATCTCCCAAATTATCATTTATTACATCAAAACTTAAACAAGGAGCACTTGTTTGAGCTTGATGGTACAAAACATAAGCAGTTTGATCACAAACTAATTCTTCGCCTTCTTCCAAAGGTTTTCCAGGTAAATAAACTTCTTTTACATTATCAACATCTTCTTCTTCCATTTCTACTTCCATTTTTTCATTAACCTCCATTTCTTCATCGTTGGACATAGTAATTTTTTATATTTTATAATAATTATTACAATTGTTGTACCTACACGTGAATTCAATTTTTTAGGTTATATTGGTTCAGAGAAGTGTTGCCATGTTAAATTAGTGTTGCCACCTTGAGGGATATATCCCGATTCGAGAGATATTTGAGGGACAAAGGGATATTCACCTATTTTTAAGGGATTCTTAAAAAAAATCTGATTTAAGGTAATTTTCGTGCAAATATTTTTATAAATGTAGTTTTAAAATTTTGTTCCTAAAAAACAACGAAGTATACCTAAAAAACAAAATCCATGTAGTAAAGCTTCTTCTTCTTCTTCTTTTTTTGGTTTGGCCTTTCCCATCCAGGATTTAGCCAGACGACACTAAAAACCACGGAAACCTCGGAAGTATTCGGCCGTGTCCGGAGGGCAGCGAGAAGCGGCTGGCGGGAATTTTGATTTTAAATATTGTTTTGGTTCGTTCTTTATTTTTAGATCGTATAATTATATAGCCTTCAAAATAAGTGATGATTTATTAGGTTTATTAAGTATAATAAACATAACAAATCATTACTTTTTTGGAGAATTTGTTAGATATATTAAGAAATATTAAGAATATGATTCTGATAAGGCTGATTTGCATTCTCGTTTTAAATTTATATCAAAATCACTTGCTTTCGGATGTTTAAACGTTTTTTGTTATTTGTATTTCTAGGGACTTCAATCTATTTCATCTTTGATGGTGGAAAAATAGAAATTGTTTTATTCTTTGCAGGAAAGTGGCATGCATTCGAATTTGGTGTACGGTTAAAGCAATCGAAATTTTGTTTTCACATAGATGTTTAAAATTAAAAAAACCCTTCTAATAAAACCAAGTATAGGTCAGAAAAATTTAACTACGCCATTGAAGATCAGCTTTAAAATTTTGAATACAGTACATAGATGAGCAGTAAAATAATTTTTGTTGTGCTAAATTTTAACTAAGTTTTAAGAAATCCGCGATTTTAAATACAACCCATAAGAAGAAAATAAAATAAACTTATGGATGTTTTTTTTAAACCAAACATATCATTTAGGTATATACAATAATTGTTAGCTTACACATATGTGTACATATAATATATATATATATTTTAATTTTAGAAATTACAGTTGATCTACTTAAATAAAACAAAACATAATATTAAAGTTCTTTATTTAAACTTAGTTTTAAAAAATCCGCAGTTGCGATTACAACCCATAAGAAGAAACTGCAAGAAACTTATGGGTGCTTTTTTCTTTAAACCAAACTCATCAGTCAGGTAAAATACAATAATTGCTAGCTTACACCTCTAGGTACATGATATGTACCTAAGTACATATTTATATATTTTAATTTTCCTAGTACTAACTAAAAATTATACTTTATAGGTACATCTACTTAAATAAAACCAAAACAACACTACAAAACTACAAAATAAATTTAAAATTAATAATAATACCTACTAATTTAAAATTTAAAATTCTTCTTCATTACATTATGTTTCTTCATTAAATATGATAGATCATTTCTATTCAGCATATTTATTCTTTGAATTTTCTCAGATTTTAATTTTCTGGCATCGGACATAATTCTGTCTACGGTTACACCACTACATAATTTTTTAACTATTTAAGTTTTTTCAAGTTTTGACAAGTGTTGACTTCTAATCTCCTCTTCGTGGCCTACATGTGATTTCCAGAATTTTACAGTTATCTCTCCTACAATTAAAATGTTGATATTATCTCAAATAGATTCATATTTTAGGGTTATATATAAGGCATAGTATTCATGTCTACTCATATACTTTTTAGGCAAAAGAATAATATTTTATCCTTAAATTTACCTGTTTTCCAAAGCTTTATATTTAAATGAGATGGGCGGGCATACTCCATACAATTTAATTGAACCACCAGCCTTCTCCGTTCTTTTGGAACAATTGCTGCCATGTCCTGAGGATAACAGAAATATTTTGTAAAATAAAGTAATAAAAGGTGAACTTAATATTTTACCTATTGAATTACTACAATTGCAAGTGTAGGATTTTTCTAAATAATCATTAGATCTTTTTGATCTGCCCGATGCATAAGTTGTCTCAATTTTCTGTTGATCAAACCACAGTTCATAACTTTCTCTCGTTGCAAAATTATATGTATGCATTTCTATTTTTATTTAATGGTTTACCTCCAAATGTTTTTCCAGTTTATTATAAGTACACAACAATGCCTAATAACACGGGAATCGCCAATAATTATTGTCAGACCTCTCTGGATTTTAAAACACATTTACTAATAAAAAAAATAGTCTTATAATAAACAAAGCCTTCTAATAAACAGAGATATACTATCTGAATAAACAAAACGAATAAAAGCAATAACATCAATTTGAGGTTATGAAATAACCGTTTTTTGGCGCAAATGATTCATTAATTTGAAATGAATGACGTCAGCCGCCGAAGCTCTCCGTAAACAGCCGAATACTTCCGAGGTTTCCGTGATTTTTAGTGTCGTCTTATTCAGCTTAAATGTATTTTATTCAATATTATACTGGAGCAAGCGAGTCTAGGAAAACCTATAGCTTACTCCTTTTCTTCTTGGTTTTATATTTTATTTATTATTATTTTTGTCACTTTTAGTTTCTTTTTTCACTTCTTTATTCACAAAATTAGATTTATTCACCATCCTTCTAAACACATTACGTTACATTCATGATCCATACATTTAACATCTAAACTCCATTAGTCGTTTTTTCGCGTAAATACCATGAAATACTATGGTCATTAAACTTAACCTTGGTTAATAGTTAAGGCATTTTTGCGTTCAGAGTGCGTTCAAAAATCCTAACTATGACGTCAAAAATACCAGACCATAAAACTATATCGCTGAGCTAGTTATTCAACGTGGTTAATAGTCTTTCTCTTTTTAATATATATATTTAATGTTTATGTAGGAATAATGTTGTGTGCTAAACATATCTTCTCCAAAACATACCGCCAACCTTCGTCTTTTTCTTTGGGGTTCCATTCTAAATTTTGAGTTTCACAATAATAATTTTCGTATAAACGTTAAACACTGTTGGATTTTAATTATGGTAAACAACAGTGAAAAAGAATATACAAGGTAAAAGAAGAGGCAAAGAAATTTATTTACACCTGTAAAAGCATAGAAATTAAATATAAATAGGTAAAAACACATTTTAAAAATTATAGGTTATGAACAAGTAAACAAATGTCAAATGTTAGAAACCTAACCATGGTTACCTATATGAATTAACTGTGACGTCATGACTTATTTAACCGTAGTATTTCACGGCCAAATCTATATGGGTGCACGTCATCAATGAGATATAATGACGTCAGCATTACCAACTTTGAATTGTAAAGTTACTGCCGTTAAATTTGCTTTTTTAAGGCGTAATTCTGATGTGTTATTAAAAAGAAATCATTCATTTGCGTATTGTTTACCAAGAACTGTAACAATTTCCTTGTTTTAAAACGTTTTTTCACGAAATTATCAAAATAAAACCATTCACTTAGTAATTTTGTGTGTGCCAGTTGGTAATAGCTTAAGGCTGGCGCGCACCGTTCAATATTATTGATGGGTCGCTGTCATTTTATATTTGACGTATTTTTGTAATTGTGACATTTCGTCCGGAAGCATCGCACATACAGGTATTTGCACGATCTACGCGGCAAAAAGTCCCAATATCAAAATTACAATAACATTCGTATAAACGAGTTCCATGAAGAGAGTACGAACCCGGGAACTATTCGGTTACTCAATCTACCTGCTACCGCGCACCCCGCACCCGTAGCGCCAGTCTAAATTTGATAGTTTTACATAGTGTACGTATATGTTCTTGGCGCTTTTCTAAACATCAAACTTCCAAAGTGAATTTTTATGTTATTAAGTTCTTCTTACGAATTGAAAGTGCTGCATTCTGATGGACAAGGTAAGAAACTTACAAACAACATTGATTAAGCCATGATCTACTATTAAACAACATTTTTTTTTATAATGAAAATACTTATTTTCGTACCGTGTTTTCCGTCAATATTTTTTCTTTACTAGTGTTTTTGTTTATGTATCGGGGTAGATCGGGCTATGGTTATTATTATAGGTCATTATTTGATCTTTTTCCTTATAACTACTATCAAAAACATCTCCGGAAACATCCGGATAAATACAGTTTTGAGGGATTAAAGATATTTAGCGAAATTTCGTATAAAATTTTAAATATTTGTTAGCGACATAGTGTATGTTTGTTTTAGGCTCAGAGGGTGTATCAGAAGTAATGATTGTGACCTATAAGATCAACTTACTCTCTAAAAATGAATTAGTCAAAAATGACTAATTACCACAGTTATTAGCGGCTGCTTTTTCACATATACCATGTTCCCCAACATTTAACAGCCAATTTTTAAGTAAAATTGTCTCTTGATTCCGAAAATACCGTCAAAAATCATAAAAGTAGAGCAGTTTTTAAGATATAGTCAATTCCATATTATATGGAAAATTGACTATTTCTCAAAAAATGTTATACTTTTTTAACTTTTGACGACATTTTCGGATTCAGGGGACAATTTTACATGGAAATTGACTGCTGAATGTGGGATACAAATTGCTATTGACGAGAATTATTAGTGGATGTTTTTTCGCTATGACAATTAGTCATTTTTGACCAATTCATTTGTAGAGAGTATTTCATGTGAAGGTTATAATGAAGACCAAATTTTTAGTTTTTGGCCAATTTCAAATCAGAAATTTAACAAGGTGGACCAAAGCTCATAAAGAAGATAATTTTATAAAATACAATCGGCCTTGGCTGGAAGTTACTTTTAAAATACCTGTTGTTAAGACTTCACAAAAACGGCCAGGTCGACCATCCAAGTCGTTCAAAGGAAAAAAACGGAAGAACTTCATTCTAATTTTTATAATACCGCCAAGATTTTGCGAGAAAATTTTCCAGGGTAAATTGTAATCAGGATATTTTTAACTGCCTTCTACTTAGTTCAGATCCTATACTAAGTAGCATGCAAACTGTAAAAAAGAGAAA